AAAAACATTTTGTCATTTTTAATAGGTAAAGAACTTACTCTCATTTCAAATCTGAATCCTCAAAGCAAGGAAAGTCTGGAAAACAGTTCTGCATTTGTTTTTATAATTTTCTATTTCACACTTGCCCTGGCTTATTGGGCAAGTCCTATAGGCTGAGAGAAAGAACTAAACAAAGGCAATTTACAGAAGGGTTAGGTGACCATAATATCAGAGGGCTCCCAGGAAGATATCTTGGTAAGTAATCTCATACTCTTCCCCTCGATTCCTACCAGGACCACTTTAGCCCAGCAACACAAAGAATCGATCCTTGCATGACATTTTACCAGAAACAAGAGGCTCAGAGGAGGGATGAAGAGGATACTTCCCAAGCAATTCTCCAGTTTCCCCCTTGACCCCAGTGTGAGGGACCCCTGTGTGAAGAGGATCTGATCCCTGTTAAATTAATTAAACAGGGAGGCCATTAGACTGAGGTGGCTCTATGTCTTGGCAGCCTACATCAGCAGACCAAAACCTGAGCCTGTAAATGCCTCAAGGTTATGAAATGGAAACCTAAGGACAGCCCATTACAAATAGCCAACGAGGCTTTCCCAAATAAGGCAACCATATGCTATATCGCCAATCAAATAACTGCTTTGCTTTGCTTCTGCATCTGTTCTCTAAAAGTTTTGCTTTTAGGAGCTCTCCTAACCACTTCTGGTTTGGCGTTGCCCAGTTGGAGTGGATGTTTCATGAAGTGATGATATTCTCTTAAGAAATGAGTCATGATTTTGTGCCTCAGTTTATCTTGTAACAACCCTGAGCATCAGCTGGCAGTCAGAGGAGTCTGCAGATGGACCATTTCTTTACTAAAGCCCGGGTGTCCCACTTGCAAGCCAATGGGCTCACCCCAGCTCCTCTCAACTCTCCACACTGCACAGCACTGAGTTCAAATGTTAACTACATGTGCAAATAAGCACTAAGCTCAGCTGTTCACATGATAACACGCATGCATCTGTTCTCACGTCTCCCCCGTCACCTAAGGACAGCCCCAAACCTATCCTGACTTTTTGCAGGAATTTCCAGTCCCACCTTCCCATCTGCCTCCTGGATATTTCACTATGAATATTCCCCTTTCATTTTCAGCTCAGCATATCTAGCAGCAAATGTTAGAGGGGAAATGCCCTACCATGGGCTAGTCAGCCTCAGCAGGGGCTGGAGGCATTCTGCAGAGCAGAAACCCAGGGGCATCAAAAGCCATGCAGGATCTCACTTTCCTAGAAGACCCTATGTTCTGAGGCTCCTCTAGCCTCAGCTCACATTCTGCCAATGGAATATGTATCTCCTAGATCTCTCTCTCCCATCGCCATCAGAGACAGCCTATGCTCTGTCTATGGAGTGTGCATCTCTCTGAATAAATCTATTTTTACTCACACAGACACACACACACATACACACTCACACACACAAAAGCCATGTAGCAGCCTTGCCAGAGTCAGGGCTGTTTCGACACAGTAAACAGATCCCACAAATTTGAGAGTTTAATCTCCTCAATGTATGTAATTATATATGTAGACATGAATTAATCAGTTATTTCCCCTTTCTGAGTCCCCAAAAGCCCTCGAGTCTGGGATGGGAAGGTCTGCCCTTAGTGTGCATCAGTGTGGGCCGAGGTAACCCCTCCTCCCATCAAAAACCAAAGCTATAGGGACATCCCTGGTTCTGGTGAAATGGAAGAAAAAAACTCCCGTGTTGTGGTTCCCTCAGTGACCATAACTGGTAGCACAAAATTATCTCCTACTTCTTCATCAGTTACTCACAGTCAGATGAAATATAAGATTCATAAAATGTACACTGGAACCCAGGGTGCAGAAATGACAGTGCCTAATTTGATTTTATGGGATGAGGAGGTAACGAAATGGGAAGGATGGTGGACTTACACAAACGTCCTCGCTCATTACATTCCTGCAGTAGAAAGGGTAACGTTTTGTAAATCGTCTAATTCAAAGAGCATCCTGATGGTTATGATACCATCACCTCCCCCACTCACTCACCTCTCACCAAACAATCCTAAGAGGCTAAGATTTATTTATTTATTTATTGCCTAGATCTGAGCTAATAGATTAGTAATAAACAAAATTCCAGACCCAGGGTGCTGTAGACTGAATGTCTCCTCTTAAAATTTTTGGAGAGGAAAAAAAATTTTTTTCTCCATCATTCTAAGTTCATGGCTGGGGCCCCTGTAACAAGTCAGATTAACAAGAAGAAAAGGAAAAAGGAGGGTTTTTGTTTCTGTTTTTGTTTTTTAAACATGTATACTTCATGGGCACATGGGAGAGACCCAGGGGAAAAATTAGTAATTCTCAAGGAGATGGCTTAGAATTCAGGCTTAAATACTATCTTCAGTTAAATCAAAAACAAGGTGTGGGTGAGGCTGGTTATGGATAGGTGACCAGGAAAAGTAGGTGCCGTCTCCACTGACAAGAATCTCTAGCAGTTCAGAGCCAGCCTTCTCTTCCAGGTACAGGGAGGGAGTCACCCTCACAAATAATGATTTTCTTCATAAATACATATTTCCCTTACAAAAAGATTACTTCTGTTTTCAGGGCTTCTCATGTGTCTGCTGTTTCTCAAAATAGTCTTTATGACACAGAGGTGTATTTTATGGTGGCCTATTCTGCCATCCTTCAGTATGCTGAAACCTAACCTCCACCGTGATGGTATTTGGAGGTGGGGCCTTGGGAGGTAATGAGGTGATTAGGGATTAGTGCCCTTATAAAGAGACCCCAGAGAGTCCCTCACCCCTTCTGCCACATGAGGACTCAGCAAGAAGAGGGCTGTTTATGGACCAGAAAGCAGGAGAAATCGAATCTGCTAGCGCCTTGAACTTGAACTTCCAAGCCTCCAGAGCTGTGAGAAATAAATGTGTTGCTTGTAAGTCAGCTCAGCTATGGAATTCTGTTAGAACAGCCAGAACTGAGTGAGGCATAAGGTGGAAGAACAACTAGGCTGGCCCGTAGACCCAGGTTAGGGGGGCCGCCAGAGCATGCACATCTGTGCCACCAGGATGCATCCACTCTGTAAATAACGCCAAATGCTTCTCACATCTCTTACCCTCTGTCCTCAAGAAGCACCTGAGTTCAAATGCCAGGATGGTCGGTGGGCTGGGCCACTGCCAAAGTGGAAGATGGACATTGCCTCAGGTTATGGGAAAAGGTGAATGGCACAAACATTTAGGTATGAGAGAAAACTGAAGTAACTTGTCAATTCTTCCTCTGACATATGTAAATGTAGTAGGTTCCCACATGGTGGATTATAATTTCTCTGGCGCCGGAAGTTGCTTCTCTTCCTGCTGCAATTTGCAGCTCTGGAGGGTCTCATGACCTGGCGTGGTACCCAACAAGTGCCCACAGCCACAGAGAAGTATCTTGCCATATGAAATATCAATTTTCATACTCACTAACTTGCTGTAAAGTGCATGAAGCATGATGTCATCTCCTTATACTGGAAACCAGAGAACGCTGAATGCAAGAATTTAAATTGCTTTGCTTTTACTAAACTATTCTATTGTATTTAAAATTTTCAAACAATAAATTTAAGATTCTTTAAAGAATTTCAATTTTAAAAGGCTAATATTCATTAATAATTTGCTCTCCACTTTTAAATTTTAGCAGATAATTTTGACTTTTTGAAGACTAACTTTTAAGCACATACATTAAACAATTTAAATTTTTCTACTGTTTGATTAATTTTATATACAGTTTAATGAAAACTTACTTGAATAATATTTGAATACAACTATATTTTCATTTTTAATCCTCTAGACCATTGCCAAAAATCTTGATTATAACAACAGAACTGGTAATTTTGCTTAAGTGAAAGTAAGAAAAATAGATTTACAGAAACATTTATGAATTACACATGTCTTTTTTTTTTTTTTTTGGTCTCATCCAAACATCAGTAGCCCATCAGCAGACTTGTACAATAATAATTAGATTTAGTCAAATTTTCCCAATTTCCTGTCATATAAAAACCATGCTTTATTTTTGTCATTAGGAAGATATATTAATCAATGTAGGAGGGTAAAGTATACTTTATTTAACAGTTGTTAGCTTGATTTATAACTTTTAAATACTTAGACACTTGGAATATGCCTCCAATTTGTATGGTTGCCCTGCGTGTTAGTGACAGAGGATGAACTGGGTGCCTGCTAATCTCACTCCATCAGAATTAAGAGCAGTATCAGCCTGGCACATTTACTCATACCTGAGGTCCCTACAGTCATTCAGAAATCAGAGAAGCCTTTTTAAAAATGAAGCCATTTCTGAAAATTATCCACTTATAATGTCTTATGATAGATACCACGGACAGTAATAGATAGAACAGAGACATCCTTTGTAAAGTCATATACAGAAAGGTCGTATATCGCAAAGGGATGAGAAAAGCCCAGCTGAGAAAGAAAGCAGGCAAATCAGAGACAGTTTAACTGTTGTTGAAAGGACCACATTGGTGAGCCCATAATAGATAGGAGGGTGAGATTCTGTCAGACTTAATAGCAGGGAAATGAGAAGTCAGTCACTCCTAGAGACTGAGAAATACATAGTGGACAAGCAGGTAAGAAGCAACTTAAAAGTGAAGCCAACAGGCAAATGAAAGAGACAGCAATTAAGATCTATGGCAGTGGGAAGGGTGTAGCTTGGTGGCAGAGTGTGTGCTTAGCATGCACGAGGTCCTGGGTTCAATCCACAGTATCTCCATTAAAAATCAATAAATAAATAAACCTAAATGCCCCGGCCACCGAAAGGTCTGGAAAAAAATTTTTTTTTAAATTTGTTGAGTTCCCCCAAGAGCTAGACACAGTGCTAAGCACCTAACATACCCTGTCGCATAACCTTCAACTATACAACACACCAGAGGTTTTAATAGGATCTAACATATTAAAGCTGTAGAAGGGAGACTACTTAACCCTTAATGTAACTGAGCAATGGGCTTGTGTGCCCACAGTGCAGAAAGACAAACCTTGACAGCAGGTGTTTGCAGCAAAGCAAGGACTTATTGCAGGGTGCCAAGCAAGGGAGTGGGAGACAAACCTCAGGTCCACTCCAACTTGGTCTGAGTTGGAGATGTTCTAAAGGGGAAGAACAAAGAAGCCAGGGTTAATTTGTGACATTTCTTAATTGTAGTTTTGGGAGTCAGGATGCCTACAGTTTATGAGTCTTGTCTGTGAGGTCATCTTACCCTGGAGGAACAACCTGAGTCTGTACATTATCGATGCTATCAACAGCAGCAACTTTAGTCCTCTAACTCTCGTTGTATGCTTGCCCTGCGTGTTAGTGATGGAACACTGTGAGCACAGGATTGAGGTCAGAAGAGACAAGCCAGGGAATACAGTTTTGGATAGAGAGGTTAATCATAAACTCTGCACAGGAACTTGGTTTTTTAAGGGGTTTCATTAATGCCTATAGAGCATAGTTCAAACTTGCTGGTAAGATGCACACCACCTTTGCCCCCTGGCCCTAATTAGCCACCCAGTGTCCCCCTCCCCAGCATGTGGCCCTTCTCATGTCCCAGCACACCAGCGGTTTCATGCCTCTGTCCCTTTGCACATGCTGTTCCCAGGGATGGGGGTGCCTTAATTCACCAGCAAACTCCTACCCATCGTGCAAGCTTCTGCTTAAATGTCACCTTCTCTGTGAAGCTTTATCAAATCCTTCCAGGCCCAGCAAGTTTACTTCCTCTTTCTGTCTCCAGAAACCCTCCATATCATCACACATATTAAAACATGTCTTGTAGGGGAAAAGGTTTAGTTCAGTGGGTGGGCACCTGGATTCAATCCCCAGTACCTCCATTAAAAATAAATAAATAAATCTAGTTGCACCCCCCCATAAAAAACAAACAAAAAACAAAAGAAAAAAAAAACATATTTTGTCACATTACAACGATCTGCTCTTGTGTCTGTCTCCTTCAGATGGCAGCTCCTCATGGACAGCGCAGTATCTCAGCACTTATGCTGTGCCTAGAGTACGGTAGGGATGTAATACATGCACACTGACTGAAAGAATAATTAGAGGGGAGGGTATAGCTCAATGGTAGAGTGAGTGCTCAGCATGCATGAGGCCCTTGGTTCAATCCCTAGTACATCCATTAAAAACTAAATAAACACAATTACCTACCCGCTAGAAGAATTTTTTTTTAATTTTTAAGGCAAATTAAAAAATTAAGAACAATTGAATGAATGAATGTACACAGGTACTATTTACACATGTAAACCACAGACATGTAAGCAACTAGCTAGAATATCTCAGAGTATCTTCCTTTCATTTTAGTTCAGTCTGCTGGATGAGATCTGACCATGACCCTCCTTCCTTAGCTATATCTTTCAGAAACAAGTGGATGACTCAAATGACACGTGACTTGTGTTAACATAACATGACAACAATAGACCACGTTAGACCAATGCATCCAACAGAACATTCAGCAGTGATGGAAATAGTCTATATTTGCACTTGCTGATATGGTAGGCACTAGCCAAATGCAGCTACTGGGCTCTTGAAATGTGGTAAGTGCAAATGAGGAAGTGAATTTTTAATTTTAATTAATTGACAAAAACCACATGTGGCTAGTAGACTAAATTGGACAACACAGCTTCAGACGATCGTTAACCCACAACTTTGTAGGGAAGTTCTACCTCATTATAATTTTTCTGTACAAAAAGCCAAACACTCAGCCACTGACAAGCTAGGTAATCTTAAGAACTTCCTTACCTTTTCTGTTTTTCATTTTACTCACCTGTAAACCTGGCAAGAGGGACCAGATGATAGAAGGCTGACAGCTCAAAGCTCCTTGAACGTACACCTTTGGGCTCAGTTCACAGCAAGTCCTCTGGACGGACAGTTGGCGGGAGGACCCCTATACCCCTTCCCAGATTGCGGGGGCAGACACGGGCTTATGCACTCACGTGGGTTCCAGTTTTCCCCAGAGAATTATAGACAGGTAAATTCCAACCCAGGAGTCAGAGGGCCACACTGCAAACACTTAAGTTCCCCAGAGGGAAATCCTCTGTTCTAAATCTTAAAGAAGAATGGGAAAAGGCCTCACCTGAGCAAAGCAATCCATCCTCAGGCCCTGTCAGTTCTTCAGGCTGGAGCTGTCAGGGTAGCTTCCTGTGTCAGGGGTAAATCATTCAGCTTCTTTCCCGTAGGATTTTTGTGCTTAAAAAGACTGAGACTTGTAAAGCCATCTGGGCTTCTAATCAGGTTTACTAAGCCTGATTATCTAATTTCTACCTGTTAAAAAAAGCACTTTGCAATTCCTAAGTTCCACGGAGAGAAAAACGCTAAATCCCTTTCCCGGTTCTCTGAGACAACTGGGCTCACGTGTGTATAACTTGGAACGCCTAGCTGGTCCCTTTTTCTTAAAAGGGAAGGGGAAAGACAGAGAGGAGGGAGAGAGAGAAAGAGAAAGGGGGAGAATAGAAGGAGGAGGAGGAGGGACAGGAGGCGGGGGGGGGACATAAGTAGAAGGAAGAAGAAGAAAGAGGGAGACAGCAGCTGAAGCTCTAGGTCGGTGGTACTCCATGCTGAGTGTCATCAGAATCACCTGGAAGACTTGTTAAAACATTGCTGGGTCCTGCTCCAGAGTTTCTGACTTAGTAGGTCAGGAAAAGGACCCTAGGTTGTGCACTTCTAAATCCCCAAGCGATGCTAATACTGTTGGTGATCATGACATCACCCTGTGAGAACCACTGCTGTCACTGCTTCTGCCCTCAGCTACTTTTCTTGCAGTTCCGGACAGGGTTTGAGTCAGTTCCTCAAAATGAAAAGATGTGTAAGTGTGTGCTTAGAGAGAAGGGGCTTGGTTAATATGTTTCCCCCTTGTCTCCACTCCTACCCAGACATACATGAGGCAAAGCAGACTGGATGCCTGGCGGCTGCTGCCAGTAACAAGATCTGGTGGGAAAGTCTGGAAGACCTTGCAGTTGGTTTCAGTCACCCGGCTGGCACCCTTGGCTGGAGGGCATGCTGGTCAAGGGCACACCTGTGCGCAGAGGGACAGCTTTCTCCTCAGGGTATCACAGCCCCCAGTAGAACCCTCATCTCACCACCGTAACTCGTCAAAGGCCATTGTTACATAGCATTATCCTTTCCTGTTGAGAAAGAAGAAAATCTGTAAGTATGTAAGGGCTTTTGACAAAGGTCTGCCTTGATCATTTATAAAAGTAAAAGGAAGGAAATGATTTTTTTAAAAAGATATTAATTAGAAAACAAAGAAACAATCAAAAGGATTTTTTTAAAGCCAAAAGTTGGGTACTTAAAAACACTACTAAAATCGAAAACCTCTGGTAAGGTGGATCAAGAAAAAGAAAAAAAACAAAGGAGGTAAACAAATACATTACAAATTTAAAAGATTAAAAAATATTATGAGCAATTTTATGCCATTTAATTGGGAAATACACACAATGAACTAATGAATTTCAAATCATGATGAAAATGTGATATTTGTCTTTGACTTCACTTAGTGTAATCACTAGGTCCATCCATGTTGCTGCAAATGGTATTATTTCATTCTTTTTTATGAAGGATGGTGAGTATTCTTTTCATAGCAATAAAGTTATTTACATAAGTTTGTTAGCAGATAGATGGGCCCCTAAATTAGGAAGCCCACTGAAGTGTGTGGGTCCTTGCCACTGGCTGTGAAAGAATTCGAGCAGCAGAGGCCGAGGAACAAAGTTAACAGCTGCTTCATTGCTCAGAAGAGGAAAAAAAGAAAGTGCTTAGATGGGGAAAAGGAAAGAAAGGCACTCAAGCGAGGAAAAGGCGTTAGAGCAGGGAGCTGTCAGCCAAGATGTCTGGTAGAGACAGCTCCAGCTGTGGCTCGGGCTTTTAAGGGAAGCTTCTGCTATCATGTCCTCATTTGGGGTATGCTGGAGCCGATCATCTTCTTTTCCATCCTTGTACATGGGCTTTTCTGGTGGTTGCCATGGCAATTGTCAATTGTCATGGCATTGGTGGGTGTGTCACTTAGCATGCTAATGCATTACAACGACCATATAATGAGGCTCAAGGTCCGCTGGAAGGCAAATCCTCTGCCATCTTGGGCTTCACAGGTTCTAACCAGTTCTTGTTTCTTCTCTTTGCCTCCTGAGACTTAGAGAAGAGTAACTGGTTTCTCTTTGAGGGAGGAGCAGGGGTATGATCCTGGGGGCAACAACCAGGGGGTAACCAGGACCCTGCCCAAGGCTACACTATTGTTTCTTGATTGTTCCTCCCTTATTTCTGCATTCCTTCCCTTCCCTGATTAGCAACTGTTTGAATCTGCCCCTTGGAACTCAGGGGAGGTCAAGGAGATTGAATGAAGCCTATTTCTTTCAGAAGAGAAATGGGGAAACAGGAAAGATGTGTACCAGGGAGGACCCCACAGTTGTTCTGCTAGTATCAAGTTCACTAAGAATCTGTTCGTCTCCTAACAAGACATAAATGGAAACATTGGTTATATTGTCAAAGCTTTGCTGGAATGTTATGTTTGAGAAAAACATGCACAGAGTCAGATATGACCAGACAGCTTTAAGAAACTAAGAGTGACATTATGAAGCCACATTGCCCCTTGGTAAAACAACCCAGTACCTTGCTTACAGGGTTCCTAACAGTCTTAACAAGTAAGGAAGGAAGATCACTTCCTGGCAGGCACAGGAACCTCAGTATATTTGGGGGACCTCAAGAAAAGAGGAATTCATCTCAATCCATAGGTATTACTGGTGAGTCTGATGGTAAGTTCTTGCCATAACTTCCTGGCCCCAAGAGGCATTTAAAATTTCAATCTGCAGATTCCTTACAAAATTTTCCCACAAAGCAAATTCAAAAGAACCTATATGGTCATTTGCTATTCTTGCTGGACACATAAATAATTGGGCCAAGTTTAATGAAGCTAAACTTATTTTGCAAACAAATTAATCTTAATTTACTTTGGTAGACATGAGGGTGATTATTGAGAAGGTATTTCAACAGAAACTATAAAACACAGTTGTGTATACTAGATTTAGTCTGTTAATCATCTTTAAGGTTTTGTTTTCCTGTAAACTGGACTGGAACCTGAATTCTAGTTTCCTCTGATATTTGACTACAACTCTCCAAACTAGTATTTCCAATTTTTCTCCCACTTCGACTTGGAATCACTGAAAACTAAAGCTGCCCTTATCATGAAGCCCTGCAAACTGAAGCTGATAAAACCTTGAGAAATTGTTACCAGGGCTTTTGCCCCAGAATCACACCCCTGCCCCTCCCTTCTATAGAAATCAGTTACTCTTCTCTAAGTTTCAGGAAGAAGCTGTAAAGAGAAAAAAACAAGAACTGGTTAGAACCAACTAGGACCGAGATTGTGGAAGATATGACTTCCAGCTGACCTTGGGCCTCATTATATGCTCATTGTAAGATATTAGCATGCTAAATAACACATCTACCAGTGCCATGACAGTTGACAACTGCCATGACAATAACCAGAAAAGTCCACACAAGAACTGAAAAGGAGAGCTGCATCAGTTCCAGGTCCAAACCATACCCTTGTTCTCAGATAACTCATGAATATTCCTCCCACTCTTTCTAATTCCTTCCCTATACCTCAGCCCTCCTATATATTTGGTGTCTTTGCCAGAATTGGGTTGAGAAATTGATTTGTGAATAAGGTTCCTGTTTCTCCATTCTTTGGCCATTGGATAAAGCTTGTGCTGTTCCAGTCTCAGCATTGGTTTCATTATTGGCTGAGAGGATCCCATTGAAAAACAGAACCTCCCCAGGCTAGGACCCGGTGCAGGTCCATTCAACCAATTCAGTAACAAGATCACTACAATAGCCTCATGTCTATTGATGTGCAAGCCACTCAGAAAGTTCACCAGAGCAGTCAATAACATCATCAGATTCAAAATGCAAAACATCCTTCGACCCCACCTAGAAATTTTCTCTCAATTGACTGCCCTTCAGACTGGCTTTGTACTTTGCTCCAACCATTAACCATTTTTTACCTTTTGTCTCCATAGAAATGCCTCTTATTAAATACATAATTGCTTGTACTCTACAGGCCTGACTTTGAGAGCCCACTTGCATCACCACCTTTTGAAATGAGTAACTGAACTGACCTACTGTCAGGACTAAGAGACTGGTTCAGTGACATGAAGCAATCTACCAACTCAGCTTCCTGACTGTGAAACTTCTTAAAAGATGTTTCAAAGGTGGTAGCACTGGGGAGCAAAACTTGCCACCCCAAAATGTCTTTTTGGCATATTAATTGTTTTAAACTGGTTATTTTCTGAGAAATGGCAGACCTGGGAAGGGTTCTGAAAACCAAATAGCAGTAGCACTTTTGTTAGAAACATTTACATTTGTAAAGGAAATCTCCATTTGTAAGGGTGTCTGGAAGAGAAAGATGACCAAATCTCTAGAAACTCTTGTCAATGGAGAAGGCACTGACTTAAATCTGCATCACAAGCACCCTTGTTTACTGTGGTTTTCCTGGTAACTTCCCATAACAGACTCTCCCCACTCTCAACATAATCTTTTGTCTTTAGCTGAAGATAGTATTTAAGGTGGGGGTTTCAACCATTTTGGTGAGTTGCTCAGTTTTTCTTGGTATCTCCCATGTATATATGTTGTTAAACTTTTTCTCCTGTTAAAAAATAGTAATAAATAAAATGAATTTAAAAAATAAAGATAAAAGACTATTCATGAGCACATTTTCCATTATATCAAAAACAAAAACAAACAAAACCTAGAAAGAAGTCATAGTCCACGAAAAGAAGAATAAAAAATAAATTACATATAGTAAATAATGCCACTTGCAGCAACAAGGATGGATCTAGAAATTATCATACTAAGTGAACTAAGTCAGACAAATCACATATCACTTATATTTGGAATCTAAAAACAGGACACAAATAAACTTATTTACAAAACAAAAACAGACTCATAGACTCACAGACATAGAAAACAAATTTATGGTTACCAAGGGGGAAAGCAGTTTGGGATTAGTAGATACAAACTACTATATACAAAATAGATAAACAACAAGGTCTTACTGTATATCACGGAACTATATTTAATAGCTTGTAATAACCTATAGTGAAAAAGAATATGACAAAGTATACACACACACACACACATATATATATAACTGAATCACTATACTATATACCAGAAAGTTAACATAACATTGTGAATCAACTATACTTCAATTTTAGAAAGAAAAAAGAAAGAAAGAAAGTAAAAAAGAAAGGAAGAAAAAAAGAAAGAAAGAAAAAAGAAAGAAAGAAGGGTATACTAACACTATGGAATATTATAAGTAGTTTTTGCTCTTAAAATATCTTTCTTCGGCTATTAACTAACCTTGAGGTTTGGGATAAGTAAGGTGAAGCAGTGGAAAGAACTTTCTTCTCCAGGTAGTTTTTTTTCCACTTAAGCAAAGAAATAAGTAAGTAGTAAATTGTAAGAGAAAATAAAAGAAAATAAAGCCCGTAACAATGTTCAGAGTATGAAAAATATGGCTGCTCTGCTGCATTAAAAAATAACTTAAAACTCACCTATAGGTCCCCACCCAAAGTACTTTGATTTACTCATCCCTTTATGTAAGAGTAAGTACTTGAGCTAAATTAAAAGATGGAGCTCAGACTTGCAGGCTTAACTCCTAGCTCGACTCTCAGTGCCTTTTGGTCTGACCTAGTGCAGCCCTGTGACCAAATGAAAACTTAGTCCACTAGGTGGTCTAAACCAGTGAAAACTACAATCCCCACAATGCACTATAGCAGGGGGCAGGTTTCTGTGGAAAAAAATTAAAAATCACAAATATGTGTATACATACATACTACTTGTTAATCTCACAGTAGTTTTTTAATATTAATTAACATTCTTAAGTTAAAAATCAACTTGGTTCATCTAACTAAATTTTTTTAAAGGCCAGTGACTAAGTTGGTTATATGTAATCCAATATCACTGTATTCTTTTACCTCATTCCATAATCACGCATAATCATATAGCAATTTTGTCAGTTTCTAATAATACTAATTAACTCCTATTACTGGCAGATTTAACAATATATCTGTAGTCTTTTACAAATGACTTAAACTGGTAAATGCAAGTGCGTATCGCCTGTGTAAAATGTCAACAGCGTAAACTGAATTGATATATGAAGCTCTATCACTTCAGCGCCTGAGACAATGCGTAACTGCCTTTGCCTACTGCACAAATGCAATGAAGCAGCCCCTTTATGAAGCAGTGAAGTGAAAGTGTGTGCGATGCAGAGCTGGTGAACAGGACGGGAAAAGGAAGGGAGGATGCTCTGAAAACAAGAAAAAAATCTAATTTAACAGAGCTTGTATCCCCACGAGTGTTAATGAGAACATGTATGAAACTTCTTGAAACAGACGGTCCCTTAGAAATTCTTCCTTTAATTTCTGGTTCATCTTTTCATGTCACAAAAGAGCAGTATTTTCAGAGTTGGGGTTTTTTTTTTTCCTTTCTTTCTTGTAGTATAGTCGGTTTACAATGTTGTGCCAATTTCTGGTGTACAGCATAGTATTTCAGTCATACATATACATACATATATTCCTTTTCATTATAGTTTACTACAAGATATTGAATATAGTTCCCTGTGCTATACAGTAGAAATGTGCTGTTTATCCATTTTATATATAGTAGGCAATATCTGCAAGTCCCAGAGTTGAGTTTTGTTTGCTTGTTTTGCCATCTACTCACCCATGGCCTGACCAGTAAGCTGGACTCAGTTGATCTTTTTAATTGCTTTATTCTCTTTTTTCAAAACTTTATGTGTGTGTGTGTGTATATATATATATATATATACACAAAATTTTTTTAATGGAGGTACCAGGAATTGAAACCAGAAACTCATGCATGCTAAGCATGTGCTCTACCATTGAGCTATACCCACCCCTATTAATTGCTTTATTCTTGAAAGGATGTTCTGAACTTCCCTTATATTGTCAGTAAACTCTGGTGTGTGCATTTTTCTGGTGACAACATCTACAACTCTCAAAGATGTTCAAAGGGGTTGGTGATCCCAGAAAAACCCAAGGCCCATTGCATTAAAATAAGCTCTCTTCCCAGAAATAAACCCATGCTCTTAGGATCAATTAATCAATGACATAGGAGGCAAGAATATATAATGGACAAAAGACTCTCGTCAATCAGTGGTGCTGGGAAAACTTGACAGCTACATGTAACAGAATTAAATTAGAACATTCTCTAACACCATATACAAAAATAAACTCAAAATAGATTAAAGACTTAAATAGAAGACTGGATATCATAAAACTAAAAAAAAACATAGGCAGAACACTCTCGACAAAATTGCAGCAATATTTTTTTGGATCCATCTCCTAAAACAAAGGAAATAAAAACGAAAATAAACAAATGGGACCTAATTAAATGGAAAAGTTTTTGAACAGCAAAGGAAACCACTGACAAAATGAAAAGGCAACCTAATGAATGGCAGAAAATATTTGCAAATTACACGACCCATAAGGGGTTAATATCCAACATATAAAACAGCTCATACAACTCAACATCAAAAATACAAACAACCAGATTAAAAAATGGGCAGAAGAACTGAATAGAAATTTTTCCAAAGAGATTCAGATGGCCAACAGGTACATGAAAAGATACTCAACATCACTAATCATCAGGGAAATGCAAATCAAAATCACAATGAGATATCACCTCACATCTGTCACAGTGGCTATCATTAAAAAGAACACAAATAACAAATGTTGGTGAGGATGTGAAGAAAAAGGAACCCTCGTACACTGTTGGTGGGAATGAAAATTGGTGCAGCCACTGTGAAAAACAGTATGCAGGTTTCTCAAAAAACTACAAATAAAACTACCATATGACCCATTAATTCCACTCCTGGGTATATATCTGAAAAAAAACCAAAAACACTAATTCAAAAAGATAACATGCACCCCCAAATGTTCACAGCTGCATTATTTACAATTGGCAAGATATGGATGCAACCTAAGTGTCCATCACCAGAAGGATAAACAAGATGTGATACATATATACAACTACTCAGCCACACACACACACACACACACAAAAAGAATGAAATTCTGCCATTTACAACATGGATGGACTGAGAGGGCATTATACTAAGTGAAATAGGTCAGACAGAGAAGGACAAATTCCGAATGATATCATTTATATGTGGAATCTAAAAAAATACAACAAACTAGTGAATATAACAAAAAAGGAAATAGACCCACGGATATAAAGAACAAATTAGTGGCTACCAGTGGGGAGAGGGTAGGGGGAGGGACTTAAGAGACAAACTATTAGATATAAAATAAGCCAAAAATATATATTGTACAAGGTGAGAAATAAAGGAAATATTTTTATAGTAACTAAAAATGGAGTATAACCTTCAAAAATTGTGAATTCCAGGTAGACGGAATAACATGCGCAAACACTTGGAAGTACGATAGTACGTGCCTTACTTTTCTTCTACAGAGAAGAGTTTGGCTTGACTGGCCATAGGATGACAGTGATAGGCTGGAGACCACAGTACTGACTCTGCCTGCTATGCTCTGACACTACCAGATACCCTCATGGCTTAAAGTCACTTCATTCAGATCTCTGTTCGAATATTACCTCATCAAAGAGAGTGCTTCCTGGATCAACTCACCCAAAATACTTTACACATGCGCATACATACACACATCGCTCCATCTCTCCCTCTCTTTATCTTGTTTTATTTTCCTTCATTATGCTTATGAACATCTCACATACGTTTGCTTATATGTTTAGTAACTTCTCCCTCAATAGACTATAAGCTCTAGTAAGCAGGGTTTTTAATATTTTACCATTCCAGCACCTACAACAGTACTCAATAAATACTAAATGAGTAGAAAGGTAGTTTAGCATTAAAAAAAATTGTGAATTACTATATTGTACACCTGTAATTTATACATAGTATTATGCATCAAATATAAGTCAATAAAAATTAAATTACTTAAGCAATTAAAAAGAAAAAGAAAGCTCTCTTCAACCTTGTGGAATCACAGGGCGCTAGCTTCTGGCTCAGCTCAGAGCTGGGCTTGTCCTCCGGGCAGCTCTCCCCACGTAGTCCTCCGAGGCACGGCTTCCAGCAGGTGTCGCCGCGCTGCCGCGCTGCCGCGTCCGTGCACCCTGCCCAGCCTGCTCTCACCGCGCCGGCGCCGACGGAAGGGGCGGGGCAAGGGCAGGGCGGGGCAAGGGGAGGGCGGGCCTCTGGAGTCCGGCAGTCGGCGCGGCCGGGTGTGGGGGTGGGGAAGAGGGAGGAGCGGCGCTGACGTACAGGTAACTGCTTCCCTGACGTGCCGTGCCCCTGACCCGCGCCCCCTTCTGTTGCCTCATCGCGCGCACGTGTGAAATACCCGCGCGGAGAGCTCCTCTCCCCCGCCTGCGTTCCTGCAGATTCTCCGCGTGAGTCTCTCGTGTCCTTCCCCGGCTCGGCCAGCTCGGTACGCCCCGTGGCCCCGGGGGCTGGAGGGGCCGGGGGATCCTGGAGGGCCGGGGTCGTCTGCCCCCGGACCCCGTTCACTCGCTGGCTCCAGATGCAGACCGGGAGCTCGAGGACCCTGGTGTCCAGTTTCCCTTGACCTTGAGGACCCGGGAAAGTTCGCAGCCTGCGGGGGTAGGGAGGGAGCAGTTCGTCAGCTTCCGCGATCTCCAGGAGAAGGGAGAATTTTTAGTTGCAATTGACCTAAAAGCAAGTAGATCAGGTTCTCCATATGGAGTAGTAAACAGGCTCAGGAATGTGGGATGATTCCAAATGTCCCGCAGGTCAAGGACAGCGTTGCCTCTGCGTTCCAGTCTTTGCCTTTTTTTTTTTTTTTACAGCCTTTGGTTAGCTCACAGATTTTCTCTCTCTCCTGAAGCTCTAACCCAAAACTTCCTTCAGGCTTCCTGCCGTGATCATCCCCTTACTCAACGTTCACACTGTTGCCAAAGAAGTCTTTTAAAATGCACTCCTGTCAGATCACTTCCCTACTTAAGAACATGACTATAGCTGTCATGTTCTCTGGGTCAAGTCCAAACTCTGGTATGGCGGGCCCTTTGAGATCTAGGCTCTTACCCATTAGTCCAGCCCCATCTTTGTTCTTCATTCTAATGCACTTTTCTGATCTACTTTAATTTCACAGTATTTAATTAAGCACTTACCACGTGCCAGGCACTATTCTGGGCACTTGGGATTGAACAGAGGGAAAAAGCACAGGTAAACAGTTAATATTCTAGAAGGCAAGACATCAAAAAACAAAACAAAACAAAACAAAACCGTCCAGTAAATTATATACGATAGCAGGTAATAAGTGCTGTGGCGGAAGAAGGTAGAGCAGAGTGAGGGGCGATTGGAAGGGTAAGATGCCTATTCAGTAGAGTTGGAATGAGTAGACCTCATTGAGGTGAGGGTGAGTTATCCTTGCAGATATCTGGGCTAAGAGTGTTCTAGGCACACCTGGAACAAAGGCGTCCATCCCGAAGTGTGCCTGTTGTGTATGAGGGTCATCAGGAAGGAGCTGAGTGAGCCAGGTTGGGAAAGGCAGGAGATGAGGTCCAGAGAGGAAGCAGAGGGGCCAGATCACATAGGGCTGGAGGCTAAGGTAGGGATTTTGCTTTTCTCAGTGCTTTTGGAGTGTTTCGAGAAAAGGAGTGATGTGATGTAAATTACTTTTTAAAAGAATTGCTCTGACTGCTCTATGGAGAACACACTGGATCGGAGCCTTTGTAGTAACCCTGGTGATACAGATGGAGGCCTGAAGCTGTGGTACCAGTGGGAACAATGAGAAGAGAGGGGATACTGACCATATTTTGGAGATAAGGCAACCTGGATCTGGGTAGGAGGGAAAGAGAAGAGTCGAGAATGACTGGAAGCTTTTGTTCTCAGGAGCTAGAAGGGTGGAATTACCAATACAGGAGATGGGGAAGGCCATGGGTAGAGTACATTTGGGGTTGGGGATATATCAGAAGTTTGTTTTGGGGCCAATTAAGTTTGAGGTGACTGTTAGGCACCCAAATGGTGATGTCAAATAGGCAGTTGGATATGGTGTCCCAAGACCACCCCTAGGTTTATTGATTTCACTAGGAAGACTCAACAGGACTCAGCTGTGGGTCACAGCTATGATTTATTACAGCAAAAGACTACAGAGGACACCATGCCAGGGAGAAAATGCAAGTGACAAAGTCTGGAGGGACCTGGGTGCAGTCTTCCAAGGGCCCTCTCCCAGTGGAGCACACAGGACATGCTTAATTCCTCCAGCAAGAAATTGTGACATTTGTGAAATGTCTATCAGGAAAGCTCTTTAGAGACTCAGTGCCCAGTGTATTTATTGGGCTTTATAGGCACCCTGTACCTAGCCTGTACCAAAATTCCAGATTCCTAAAGGAAAGAGATATTCAGCATAAATCAAATTGTGCAAACAGTTTAGGCACAGTGAGCCACTCCTGTTGGTTCTGGGATGGCGAGAACCCTCCTGAAATCCAAGTTCCCAGACACCAGCCAAGGACCAACCTGGTGAGCAGACCTTTCCAAGGATAGCAGTCACAGGCCGCTGTACTAAAAGCCATGGAAATGTCCAGCATCTTGATACGCGTTTGTCAGAACTGTCTGACTGATGGAGTTGAGCTGGATGTAAAGACGAAGAGGACCAGAGACTAAACTCTGGGGCCTGCAACATTAGGTGTTGGTGAGAAGAGAAGGAAGCAGCAAAGGAAGCCTGAGAAGCAGCAGTGGGTGAGGTAGGAAGACCGAATGAGCTGTTCTGGAAGCCAGGTGAACAAGAGGGGAATCATGAGTGGTTTCCTGTGCTGCTGAGAAGTCAAGTAAGATGAGGAGCAACAGATGACCTTTTTGGATTTGGAAAATGAGAGGCATTGAGGAGAGTACAGACAACCCTTTTGAGGAATTCTGTTGTAAAGAGAAGCAAGAAAAAAGGTAGCTGGGGTGGTGGGGTTAAGAGAAGGTTGGTTGGTTGGTTGGTTTTTGAATAAGAAATAACAGCACGCCGATGGAAACGGGCCATTAGAAAGTGAAGAACTACTCTTATGACTTGATGTTTCCCCAAACCTCAGTTTCAGGCCACTTTTGCTATCAGAACTCAGGCATCCCTGTTCTGGGCTTCAGCCTGTGCAGGGTCCGGCCTCCTCTGGACCTCAGCTTTCACTTGTGTTCCCTGCCAGCCGGGGTTACTTGCCCACATTCCACTTAAGTGGTGGTTCCTTGAGGACAAAAACTGTTTCATCCTAGGCTTAGCTGGCCACTTGGCATATGCGGGCAGGTGAGTGAGGGCATGGATGCAGGAATGGGTAGAATGCCCATTTCACTTCTGGAAAATAAATCTGCAAATGTTCACTGGTTTTTGTATGTGGTGAGCAGACTGGGGATGGGAAGGAGGAGTGGGGCACGGTTCCTGCCCTGTTACTGCCCTTAGAGTTTGAGAGATCAGAATAGTATAAAAGCTACACAGCATTGGTACAGCGTGAGTTTGGAAAAGGGGATGTTGGTGTGGGCAGGGGAGGGTGGGTCTTGTGTGGAGCCTGGAAGAGGGGGAAGCCATACGAAAAGGACAGAAGCTTTTTTTTTAAAGGATGGAATCCTTTTTTCAAATTAAATGTAAGGAACCCCAGTTTTCAGCAGCACTGCTGCTCTGGTTGAAGAGGCTCTGGGCCCAGTTAGGCCTCTCTCCTAAGCCCTCCCACTCCTCTGACCAGGTTCAAAGCTGAGACATAGCCTGGGTTCTCAGACTCCACCCCTGTGGCCCTGGGTGTCCACTGTTAACATCTGCTAATGGTCATGATCTCCAGCAAAAATTAGGTTAATATGTTTTTCAGTTTTATGTTCTAAACCTCCAGCATTTCTCAGTGTTTGCCTGCTGGAGAGTGAGGCAGATTGCACAGAGAGGGAGTTATTAGCCAACAAATTCGAAGGTAATGCTTAGCTTGACATTTTGGTTACATTTATTGTAATTACATGTGAATGTGATATGAAACAGTTACTTGGTGCTAGTAAAAGTTTCCTAGTGTAGATGAATATCACTGTGATATTCACGGAGAAAATGGGACAGCAGTGTGGTGTAAAGGCAAGATGGGGTTGGGGGAGGCATGTGGGAGGCCAGGACTGACAGAGACAGGGCTGCCTTCCTCCAGGTTGTCTCCTCTTAGGATTTCCTCCATGTGGGGCAACCCTTCCTCCCACTCCTCTACTACGGAAACTGTCCATTCTCTCTATCTGTATTGCAGTCGGTAAGGTTACCTTTTGTTCAAGAGAACATGAAAAATAAATGTCCTGGTGTTGCAGAAAGTGTAGTGGCCTTGATCGAGGAGCCAGGGAGCCTGGATTAGAACGTTTGGTACCTGTGTGACCCTGTAACTGAGATGGGCTTGTTGGAAGGAATAAATAAGTTACTATGTAGAACAATGCCTGATCCATAGTCAACAACAGTGAGCATTAAGACGACTCGGCCTTGGAGTTCCCTGGCTGTGTCATTTACTAGCTGTACGACTTAGCAGATTGTTAAATTGCTGCAAGTCTCATTTGTACTCATCTGGAAAATGAGGGACCTGCACATAGCCTTGAGAGGCTGCCCTTTTCATCTCTGCAGACACATACGGCATTTTGAGTGTTATTAACTGGGGTAGACTATGCAGCCAAATCCTGAGCTCCAAGGCATACGTGGGGCCTTTGGCATTATACCTGATAGCAAAAAACACTTTGCTGAAGTCACTTAGACCAGTGTTTTCAGACTGTTTTTTTAAAATTGATAGCCACGGCAAATACGTTTTCATGATGACAGAGTGTGTGTGTATGTATATGTGTATGTATGTAACTATAACCAAAGCCTCATGAGGCAGTAGTTACTCTTACTATAAGTGACGCACTGTAATATTTTCTATTCTCTTCAATTTCTGCTTCTTAAAAAGTAAAAAAAAAATTTTTGGTTTTTTTTGGGGGGTGATAATTAGGTTTATTTATTTACATATTTATTTATTTTAACAGCAGGCAAGGGGATTGAACCCAGGACCTTGTACATGTACCGCTGAGTTATAAGTAAAAATTTTAATAATGGCTCATGACTCATAGTTAGAAAAATGCTAACCTAAAGATAGGCAAATCATCATTATTAATGCCAGTCATCATCTTCTCCATTACATGAGCATCTTATAAACCAGTCTGGTCTAGGCCCAATAGCAGGTAGTGATTTCAGCCAGGGGTGTCTTGGCCCATAAGGTAGACATCACTTGGATAAATTCTAATGAGTCTAGACTGTTGGCCCAACAGAAGTCCTAAGACTGATGATAGAGAGCTCTGACCACGTTCCTGTGTGTTCTGGGTGGGAAGGTGTGAAAGGCTCTGCTTGTGAGTAGATTATTTTTCTGAAAATTTTACTCTGTGAAGGATATATGTCATGTTAACAGTGGTTATTACAGAGTAGATTATGAGTGGTTTGCATTTTCTTTGCTTTTTTTTTCAGATTTTCTACTATAAAAATACTTTTCATATATAATAATTGAAATTTCCTCTCAAAAATTATGGTAATAATAGTGGTAATTACTACTAAAAAATCCTTACTTGGCAGAATAAAGGATAAACAAATCTTTACATGGCAAAGCAAAAAGTAGTCCTTCATTAGGTAACTTTTAAAAAAATTTTGATTGTAGTGGTTCATGAAATACAAAGTCTGGGAAGTAATGAAATATACTAGTTTCTTCCTTTATTCCGCATGTATAAAGTTTAAAGTTCTTTCTATGAAAGCTTGTTATTCATTCACTATTAAATTAGATAAAATATGTATAAAAGTAATTTCTGTTTCTCTTTAAGGTGCTCCAAGTAATTTCTAGTCAGTATTTTACTCTATGAATTTTATAGCATTTAAAAATTATTTCAAATTATGGTTATGTTGAAACACAGCCCTACTGAGCCTGCTTTATTTCTCATTAAAGAATCAGATTGGGGTCCCAAGAGCAATGAGATACAGAGTAGAGCTTATGTTGTCTGCCTCATTCACGCCAACAGAAATAAGGCCCAAAATGTTAACAAATATAATTGGAAGTAGCTACCTATGTGCTTTCGAGTAGGCTTACAGGTAATTACTGTTGTCAGCTTTATGATGAATGGAAAGTACGGAGGAAAAATCACGCTAATCATTATCAAAGAAATCAGTCTGAAAGTATAGCCTTGGCACAAGGGAAAGTTTGCCACAGCCTTGAAGTATGAGGATTTTGACCATATGGCAACCCTTCTTACATTACTAAATCATGGTCTCCAAAACCATCTTGAGGTACTGGGGGAGGTCTATCACCATCGTAGTAAGAAGGTTTCTGCTGCCTTTGTGATCATATAGGAATTGGTTGCTCTGTGGCATGTCAGCACCTCAGTGCCTCAGGAAATAGTTACCTAGTTTGTGGATCCAATTTGCTCATTCCTAGCTCTGGTTTGTTGGGGTTGGAGGTTGAAATAAAGTTTAGAGATTCACTCTGGGTTTTATAAAGTCATGATCTGGTGTCCCCAGCAAAGTCAATATTGTAAGAATGTAACGTATGTCAGTAAATAGTCTTTCTTGACGTGAGATTTTCTTTTTTAAAATATATCATTGAGAACTATTGTTAATATTTTTCAGTAGCAGTCAGTACCAAAGCTAATTGGGAGGTGGGGGGTGGTGAAGAAGAGTAGAACCAGTGTTTTCACACATATGAGTGTCTAGTTTGAACTTCATGACCACCCTATGATGTAAGCATGTTAATTACAGCTAGAAGACTCACCTAGTACGTGCAGACCAATATGGCCTTTTGTAGGGGGAGCATAAGTACAGGACTAGATATAGTGTTCATGGTGTGTATGGTTCATGTTGTAAAAATGCCAGCATGCCGCACTGGTGAAATAAAACTAAGTTATTGTCTGTCCTAGGTTATATGTGCCATGGCTATGACCAGTGTCAGATTGCCCACCTGTGCTTTTAGAAAGCCAGATGCCTGGATTGGACTCTGCCGAGTGCTGCAAGGGACACCGTCACACAAACCCTGTGCTTCCTGGAATCGATACTTATATTTTTCTAGTACCAAGTTAAATGCATCAAATTATAAAACACTTTTCCATAACATTTTCTCACTGAGACTCCCAGGGCTTTTAGTATCTCCGGAATATATTTTCCCATTTTCCATAAGACTCAAAAGTAATGTAAGTTCTAAAAAGTCCACTAAAAAGACTCTGCAAAAAGTTGAAGATGAAGAGGAATCTGAAGACGAGAGAGATCGTAGTGAGATGAGTGAACAGGAAGACGAGACCGAGGATGACCCCAGTGTGGTCAAAGACTATAAAGACCTGGACAAAGTAGTGCAGTCTTTCCGGTATGATGTTATCCTGAAGACAGGTCTGGATATCGGAAGAAAGTAAGTGTGTGGTTTTTATTACAAAGTCACTTTCGTGTCTTACTGGTTATTTTAAAGCAGTGTTACAGTCCCATGGCTCATGTTACCTTAAGAGTAACTATAGGTGTGAAAGGACTTTATAGGTAACCTGTTTCAATTATTTTATTCTATAGGTGAGAAAATTTCCAAAGAAGTCAGGTGACTGCCTGCAAATCCCACGTGCTGTATTTCCTTGATTCTAAGACATAATCAACTGTAAAATGAACCATTGGTGTAATAACAGCTTCTTGAGGAAAAAAGGAATCACCATGTTAGATGTACATAGCAAGCTTAGAATGTACATGGGTTTCACAAATGCTGCAGCGTGAGAAGGTACCTCTTGGAGTCAACGGAAGCAGTATCACATGGTGGTTAAGAACGCAGGCTCTGTAGCCAGACTACTGGGGTTTCCATCCTGGTTCTGTGTATGACCTTGGACAGCTTACTTAAAATCTCTGCAGTTTCCTCATCTGTAAAATGGGGGTAACAGAACCTGCTTTAGAAGTGGTGGGTAGGATTGAATAAGTTATCTCTCTTATCTATCTAAGGCATTTATAACAGTGCCTGGCACATAGTAGGTCCTCAATATATGTTAGCCATGATTATGAAAAAAATACTATGTGCGTTCATATATAGTGCATAGAGCTACTAAGTGTAACTTTCAAGATATCTTTAATATTCTCATTCTTTCTCTTTTAGACTAATTATATAAGAATAGTGATCCCCATAGTTTGTTCATTTCTTTGCAGTCATTGCATGCATACTGCATGCAAGGTAAGAATTGTGGTATGAATAATAAATTAAGAAAGATTCCCTTGTGTAATTTGTACCTTTATGTCCTAATATAATGGCATCATTTAATTTTTCAACCCATGAAGCTTAAGGACTCATAAAGATGACCCTGAGCCTACAGGCACCCTGATTGGGACTTGCATTTTCTCTACAATCTGGCAAGCTCATAAGAGGCCTGTCCATCTCTCAGAGTAGTAACTGACACTGTTCATAAGCAGAACCCCAGATGTCAGTTACCTGGAATCAGAGCATTAACAGGAACGAGATTTTTGTCCACGTCCTCCCCTGATCTCGTTGCCCACTGATTAAATTTAGGAAGATCAGCTGCTGCTGGATTGGAATTTCCCCAGCCTCAGTGCAGATTAGCAGAGGATTTCTTAATAACCTCACCATACATGTGGTGCCTGGGTTTTCTCTCAGAGCACGTGCAGGGAAGGGAGTGTCCACACATTCTGGCCGTTGTATATCACGGGAGCTACCACCTTGAAGGCGGTTGTTGGGGAGGGAGTCAAGTGCAGAACACTGGCCGGCCAGTTAACACATGAGCTAACCTGCTTGGGAGCCCCAGCAGAGCGCTGGTTATCTGGTTCCCAGCACCAGCAGATCTCTGCCATGGGCCGGCATCCATTGGGAAATGCCCTTTGGTTTCCCTGTTCAGATACATAAGGGAGCAGTTGGCTTTCACTTTCTTCGAACCCAGAATGGAGATTCTGCAGGGATGTTGGTCCCTGTCGGAGTAAGCATTAACAGTAGGCATTTTTCTCAAACCTGTATAATTGTTTTGAATATATTTCTATTTTAAAGCACTTTGACTTTTTTTTTTTAAGCAAAGTGGAAGATGCATTCTACAAAGGTGAACTCAGGCTGAATGGGGAAAAATTATGGAAGAAAAGCAGAACGGTGAGATATTATGACAGCCAGATGTTTGTGTCTGCTGCTTTGCCAGTACTCAGTTAATGCCTCCCCCAGTTTCCCCTCAGGCTCCTTCCTTGGGGTGTCAGTGGCTCCTCGAGTAGGTCTGCCTTCCCCTCTAAGGTCTCCCTCAGGCCTGGTCACATAGTGAGCATCACCAGCCAGCTTCAGTCACACAGACCACTTGCTCTTTGCAGCCGTAATGACTGAGACAAATCTTCCCCTTTTTCTTTAAAATTTTAAGATAAGCCACTATCAGAACTGGCAAAAATCTATTAATTAAACCAATAAATCATTGATGGTAGCCCCTATGAAATCATAATAAGTCAGGCTAAAAAGAAACATTTGATTCACGTAGAGGTTTCTGTGGCCAGCTGTGACCTGAGCAGATGTGTAATGCTGTCCTGCTCAGCAGTGCCTGCTGGATACACTGCTCTGTGTGCAGGGCAGCTACCAAAAAGAAGGTTCCATATTTCCTCATAGCTCTGTATCAACACTATTGTTAAGTGAAAGAAGTCACTCATAAGTGTTATAAGAAAATGTATTTCTAGTATTTGGTTGTGTTACAATAAATCATATATATATTTTAAAAATATATGTTTTAATAAAAATAAATCTTATACATCTAGAATTAAAATGTTAATAATACTAATATTTATTGAGTGGGGCATTGTGGGTTGTATTTTCTTCATGCATTTTATTTTCTGAATTTTTTACGAGTTATTGGAAAAAACAATAACGATAGTAAAAGTTAATAAATTTTATAAAGTATATGATAGAGACCCTTCAAAAAGACATAGACCTATGAGACACTGGCAGACATAATGTCTTAGTGTCCAGAGAACATGTGTTCTAGGGAAGTTAGACACTTTTTTTTAATAATAGCTATTTTTTTTAATTAGGTTATAGTAGACACTTTTGTAGATTGTTTTTATTATAGCTTCTCTTATATTTCAAAACACCCCTGAGGTTGGAGGACCTGAGCTGCATCCTGTTGCCCTGGGATGGGGGAGGGTGTGAGCCACCGGCCGTGGACCTGGGTGAGCACTGAGGCTGTCTTCAGAATCCTTGCTCCCTGGGCTCAGGATAGTTCTTGCAGCTAAGGGGAAACTAGGGGGTACTCCCCAGGACTTGTTTTGGCTTGGCTGCCAAATCACAAGCCCACATCCCTCTGATGGCAACTGACCTGCTGGATTCAGGCTGCAGGTGTCAGTCCTTCCTTGGTGAGATGTGCATCTGGAGATCAGGTCCTTCTTGTCCCTTAATTGCTGTTTCCTGCTTGTAGCCCAGCCCCCCTCCTCGCCAGCTGCAGCATTCCAAAGACAAGACCTGTTCTTGGTGCAAGATGCCTCTGTGCCAGGGCCTCATTTACAGACACCACAAGTCTATTTTTCTCCCTCTGCTCTGAGATTGTTAACTACAGCCTAATTGCTGCTTCTTCATTCTGCCTTGGGTGTTCTGTTGTCTTGGCTGCCTTCCAGATTTCTCCTGAGGGTCAGCAAAGGAAGGGGCCAGTATTAACACTCGGCTGCCTTGTTACTAGGAGGCCTGGTAGCCATAGTAACTGCAGCTAAGGGGAGATTGGAAATGTAGATATTTGGAACAGTCCCTAATTCCAGCCAGTTTCACTTTGTGTCTACTGTGCCATCTCCCACAGTAGAAAGGACAGGGCCTTGCAGGGACTAAAGGACACTTCCCCTTCTGTGGCCTGCTCCGTGGACCTGTGTGTGGCTGCTGGTCCTGAGGGTCCAGCTCTTGTCTGATGCTGCAACTCCAACCCTGGCTGCCTACAGCTGAGCAGATCTTTCCTGTGAGCTGCAAACCAGGTGGGGCCCAGAGTGCAGTAGGAGCTGGGTAACTGTTGACTTAAATAGAGGGTGTGTGGATCCCAAGTGTAGGGGGTGAAGCCTTCCTAAGCTCACCTCTTCCTGGGATTGGCTGGGTAAAGGAGAAACATTCCTGTCCTATTCTCTGCCCTAGAAGTAACCACCTAAACTGTCCACACTTCTCGGAAGGGGCAGACATCACGTGTGGTATATCTATGAAAGGATACACAGGGGTTGCCTTTTCTCAGTGTATCCTTTTGTACTTTTACATTTTGTTTCATGTGCATATATTACTTGTTAAAAAGTGAATTTTAATGACAGAGTTATGCCAAAAAAGATGAAGCAGAGTTCCCAAGTGTCGTATTTCTGGACATTGATTTTAAATGTCTACATAAGGCCAAATGGTCTTTTGTTTTTTTAACTGAACCCAGCAGAAATATAGGAGGACAGACCTTGCCCACCCTCACCCTCTGCCCCCAGCCTGGATGATGCCCGGTTCAGCCTATCTTTCAAACCCAAGAGGAGAAGCAGTCTTCATGCCTGGTGGTGGTGTGACCTTGTCTGCTCAGCCCAGAGGGGAGAAAGTTAATGGTGTAAAATCAGCCCCTGTGTGAGTTTTACATCCGGCTGCCCGGACTGACCAGTGTGGTGTTGTAGTGAGCAGGTGTGCATTCCCACGTTGTAGACTGAGTACTGCGCCTGCTGAGTGGGTGGCTTGCCCTAGTGAGGTATAGATGTTCCAATAGTATGAAGTTGTGACTGCCTCAGAGAGCATTCATTGGAAAATAAGGTAAATTTAAGCATTTACACCATGCTCCTTAAACAGAAGTCTTCTAGTAGGCTTTTAAACGGGCACACATGGGGTTCCATCCATCCATGTCCTTATGTCCCGTCTCTTTGCCCCTGCAGCCTCCCCCCAACCCCCAGCTTGGAAGCCGTGGTGAGTGGTCTGAGACAGTCTCTGGCATCCTGGCTGGTGTTCTCACAAAAGAAGCATATGGCATCTGAGTCAGTTTAGCCCCTTCCTGAGTTGCTGGGCAGATCCCCTGGCATCCTGAGTTGCCAGGGCTAGGTGTCTGTCGTGGGCAACTCCCGGGCAGCACTGACATGACCGCCCCAGAGCATGCCCTGCACTCATTCAACCCAAAGCTCCCACCTGGGCAAGAATGGGTTTGCCCTCAGCCCATCGAGTTAGCATTCATCTCGACCCTCTTTTCTGTGCCATTCCATCCTTGTGCGTTGAGTCCTGGCTCTTCCTGATGATGGGGCCAGCCAGTGTAGGAAATTACTTCCATTTCTTTAAAAGATACAGCTGACTGCTGTCCTTGTGCGTTGAGTCCTGGCTCTTCCTGATGATGGGGCCAGCCAGTGTAGGAAATTACTTCCATTTCTTTAAAAGATACAGCTGACTGCTGTTCCACTGTTAGTAATTTCCGGCAAATTATGCCCAGTCCCCAATTATGTAACTCATTCAGGTTGAAATCAATGAAAATGTTACACTGAAAATTGTCATCTTGGTGCATGTAGCAATTACTTTGCACACACTCTCTAAGACTGTGCCCTCCTTCCTTTGTCTTGTACGGTTGTTACCAAAATAAATGCTTCCATTCAGGCGTTGCCTTAAATCATGAAGTAGAGGTGAATATGGGAGCTCCCCAACACAGGGACCATCCACAAGCACCCGGTTGTCTCAGTCTGAAGGAGGGGCACTGTTCCATATGGAGTCACATGGGTCTGAGGGGCCTTCTCAGAGAGGGGAGCCTTTTACCTCTCAGAGTCACTAGGGATACATGACTGTTAATGGAGGAGCCACCTGCCCCCGGGGTGATGGCCACCTAGTGAAATCTCAAAGCGGGGATGTTTGTATTGGCCTGCATTTCCCAAAATGTAATGATGGCTCAGTTTTCTTTTAATTTTCAGGTGAAAGTTGGAGATACATTGGATCTTCTAATTGGGGAGGATAAAGAAGCAGAAACAGAGACAGTGATGCGGATTCTCCTGAAAAAAGTGTTTGAAGAGAAGACTGGCAGTGAGAAATACAGAGTGGTGTTAAGACGGTGGAAAACGTTAAAATTGCCTAAAAAAAGTATGCTCAAATAAATGGATTGCTTTTTAGCGATAAAGCTGCTTTCTAGTAGCGTGGGACAGGGCCAGGTTAAGGGCATTTTTATTAAAATAAAATTCTCCTATCATTTGTGGCGTCTGCCGAGCCATTTTGTGGAAGTTGAGATTCGTATCTTGGAGACACTTCCTGTGGCCTGGATTTCCCTCTGGGGCTTCATTTATGCGCGTTTTGACCTGAGCACGAGTGAGATACGTGCTGAATGAACTAAGCCCAGAGAGGGTTTTCATGACCAGCCTGCTGTTTCCCACATTAACTTCCTCAGGAGGCAGTGTGAGATAAACTGGCCTTGTTGTTAGTGTCTTTTTCAATCCTATCCTTGTTGGCCAGCTTCCTTGGGTTCAGGCTTCTTAAGGCAAAACCAGGCTAAGTCAAGGTCTTCATCTTAGGGGAGCAGCACTGGGAGACCCCTTTCTCCACTGGCCTTTCTGAATTACCAGCATGTTGGCCTTAGTTCCCTTCGGTTTGTCTCCAGGAGTCAGGATAGTAAAGTTGTTCCAACTAATTCCAAATGGGCTAGTTAATTTTAAAATTAATTGTTTTGGGCATGGGGTTGATAGACTAAGGCAGCTGGAGGCCTTTTGTATGGCAGACAAAAATGGTTTTTACATTTTTAAAAGGTTGTTTAAAATAAAAGGGAAAGGAATATATGACAGAGACCTCACGTGGCCCAAGGAGCCTCAAATATTTATACCAACCCTTTACAGGAGGAATGTGATTGACCCTCCTCGGTTTAAGCTGAGGGTCTACTTTTCAGGTGAAAGTAGAAAATACACAGATTTTATCAACAAAGAGAAGAATCAGAGACTAATTATTCTAATTCTCAAGACAGTGTTTTACAAAGGACTGAAAAAATAGAGCGTAACAGAGGAAACACACCTTTAATACACGTCATCTAAGAAAAGGGTAGCAGGGTACCTGCATAAATAAGTTGCAGAGTCCCTGCAGCTGTTTGCTGGCACTGGCAGGGTCCGCTCAGATAGGAGGCTTACTAGGTTGAGTCATGTCAAAAAGACTGGCTGTGTCTTGGTCCTTTGATTTGTCCTCCAGGAATTCTCAAGAATTCAGGTTAACTGACAGAGAAGGGAAACTTCTGTAGCTCAGTGCAGTGAGATGTTTGGGCCCTTGAGTCTGGAATTCTTTTACCAGCTCAGATTTCAGAAGACTCTGAAAAGTTGATTTTTATTTGAAAGCTTAAATAAGCTCTCAGGAAGAAATAATATATACTGTGCAGTGTAACAGAAGGAATTTTTCTGTTTTACCACTTGTTAAGTAGGCTTTTTCATCAGTAAAACTAGTACAATTAATTTCAACATAAACTCACTTAGTTATGAGTTATAATTTAGGAGATTATAGTAATGACTATGCCTTTTCTCATCCTTCACCTTTCTGTGCCTTTCTCCCCCTCCTTCCCTCCACCTTCTCTCCCCTCTCTTCTCTTCACTGTTCTTTGGAAAGTAACAGAAAGCCAGGGAAGTCTTGGCTGGTGACGGGTAGTGTGATCTAGTGATGTGTCAGGGTCCTGGTGTTTAGGCTCAGTCTTGCCCCTAGCAAGTTGGGTCACCTTGGTTGTAGTTTGGCCTTAATCCCTCTGAGCTTCAGCTTCCTCACTGGTCAGAAAGGGATCAGGATACTAATTTCCTTACCTTGTTGAGTCTTTGAAAGAGGAAGAAAGTTAAAATGTGTGAGGCATGATGGGTTGGTAGTAGCTAGAAAGCAGGAAGGGCCACTTGAAAGGCTTTTGGAAGCTCTACTGGTAATAACTTAACTGGTTGGGTTTGACCTATTCCAGGCTTCTCTCTTTAAAAATGAAACTAAGAAGACGTCTGATGGTAGAGAATGTTGGTCATAGCATGTGGCAAAAACTGATCTCATAGTTGTCCACAGTGCAAGGGACTTGGAGCATATTTGTGAAACAGCAGAAGCAAAAGTGGTTCATAAAGATTTATGGAACTCTCGCAGCTCATTCATTGCTACAGCTGCTTTATAATGCCATCCTGGCAAGGCCTCCTCCGTGGCAATGTGATCAACATGATGAAAAGATTAAAGAAAAGATTTGGATATTTCTAATGCAGTGGTTGTTAACTGGGTGTGATTTTTGCCCCCCCTGGGGACATATGGCAATATTTGGAGATATTTTTGTAACAACTGAGGGGGTGGGATGGGCATCAAGTGGGTAGAGACCAGTGATGCTGTTAAATGTCCTACAGTGTACAGACAGTCCCCACAACAAATAATGATCAGACCTAAAATGTCAGTGGTGTTGAGGCTGAGACACTTGCTCTACTGGGATGACAGGGAAGAAAAATTTTTTCAGTAGGTCTTGCTCTCACAGCAATCGGACAAGAAAAAGAAATACAAGGTATCCAAATAGGAAGGGAAGAGGTAAAATTACCATTATATGTAGATGACATGATATTCTATATAGAAAACACTAAAGACTGCATACAAAAACTATTAAAACTGCTAAGTGAATTCAGCGAAGCAGCAGGTTACAAGATTAACATACAAAAATCTGTTGCATTTCTTCACGCTAACAATGACATATCAGAAAGAGAAAGTAAAAAACAATCCCATTTAAAATTGCATTAAAAAATACCTAGGAATAAACCTACCCAAAGAGGTCAAAGACTTAAATGGTGAGAACTATGACACTGATAAAGGAAACTGAAGATTATTCAAGGAATGGAAAGAAACCCATTCTCTTGGACTAGAAGAATTAATATTGTTAAAATGGCTATACTACCCAAAGCAATCTATAGATTTAATGCAATCCTCATCAAATTGCCCATGACATTTTTTTTAGAATTAGAACAAATAATCCTAAAATTTATGTGGAGTCAGTCACAAAAGACCCAGAATTGCCAAAGCAATACTGAGGAAAAGCAACAAAGCTGGAGGCATAACCCTTCCAGACTTCAGACAGTACTACAAAGCTACATTAATCAAAATAGCATGGCACAAAAACAGACATATAGATCAGTGGAACTGAATAGCCCAGAAATAAACCCACTCACCTATGGTCAATTAATCTATGACAAAGGAGGCAAGAATATTCAATGGAGAAAAGACAGTCTCTTCAGCAAGTGGTGTTGGGAAAGCTGGACAGCTGCATGTAATCAATAAAGTTAGAACAATTCCCTCACACTGTACACAAAAATAAAATGGATTAAAGACTTAAATATAAGACATGACACCATAAAACTAGAAGAGGACATAGAGAAAACATTTTCTGACATAAATTATAGCAATATTTTCTTAGATCAGTCTCCCAAGGCAAAAGAAAGAAAAGCAAAAATAAATGGGATATAATTAAACTTGAAAGTTTTTGCACAGCAAAGGAGACTATAAACAAAATGAAAAGAAAATCTATGGCCTGGGAGAAAATATTTGCAAATGATGCAGCCGACAAGGGCTTCATTTCCAAAATATACAAACAGCTCATACAGATCAATATGAAAAAAAAGCCCAATCAAAAAATGGGCAGAAGACCTAAACACATGTTTCTCCAAAGAAGACACACAGATGGCAAACAGGCACATGAAAAGATGCTCAACATCACTAACTATTAGAGAAATGCAAATCAAAACTGCAGTGAAGTATCACCTCACACTGATCAGAATGGCCATCAGCAAAAAGTCTACAAAATTAATGCTAGGGAGGATGTGGAGAAAAGGGAACCCTCCTACACTGTTGGTGGAAATGTAATTTGGTGCAGACACTATGCAAAACAGTATGGAGGTCCCCTAACAAACTAAAAATAAGATCCAGCAATCCCACTCCTGGGTATACATCCAGAAAAAATAAAAGCTCTAATTCAAAAAGATGTGTGCCTCAATGTTCATAGCAGCACTGTTTACAATAGCCAACACATGGAAGCAACCTAAATGTCCATTGATAGATGATTGGATAAAGAAAATGTATATATACAATGGAATACTACTCAGCCACAAAAAGAATCTGATAATGTCATTTGTAGCAACATGGATGGACCTAGAGATTATCATACTAAGTGAAGTCAAAGATAAATATTATATGATATCATTTTACATATGGAATTTTTCTAAAATAATATAAATAAACTTATTTACAAAACAGACTCACAGACACAGAAAACAAACTTATGGTTACCAAAGGGGAAGCAGGGGGAGGGATAAATTAGGTGTTTAGGATTAACAGATACACACTACTATATATAAAATGGATAAAAAAACAAGGACCTACTGTATAGCACAGGGGATTATATTCAAGATCTTGTAATAACTTCTAACGGAAAAAAATCTGAAAAAGCATATATACACACACTGAGTAATATACTGAGAAAGTATATATAAACATATATATATGTCCGAATTACTTTTTGTACACCTGAAACTAACACAGTATTGTAAATTAACTATAGTTCAATTTAAAAAAAATAATAAAAAATTGAAAATAGGTTTGGCTTTCCAAGGAAAGCTTGAAAATGCTTCTAGCATATGTTTGCAGTTTTTTAAGGCTAAACAATTTCAAGTTATGACTATTTTTGTAGAGGCCTCTACCGTTTTTATCAGTAATGGTTAATCCTTTCAAAGAAATAGCTCTCCTCTGGGAAATATGATGCTAATTGCATTTGTCTGCCAAATAGCATTTACCATCTTTCATGGAAAATTATATAGATGGCTAGACAAGTTTCATTACTGTAGCATTTTCGGGAGAAATGTAGACATTTGGGGGAAAATTCTTAAGTCATAGTTTATTTGGTCAGTAATGATTGGGGGGATAGAAACATAACTACCATTTTTCAAGAAAGTTAAAAAAACAGACTTCCTTTGGGGTGGTGGTGTATGTTCTATGAACCTTCTTAAAGGGTGTGCACTGTATACGAGGCAAATAAAAAGACACTATGGAAGTCCTGCTTTATCCTCTATTCTGGCTTTCAAAAAGTTACTGTCTGAATTACCAGTCAGCTTACTGTCTCAAGGAATTACGAACTCCACTGAGCAGACTCCAGAGAGCAAAATGTGAGTGACTCCCAGTGGCTTTCAGTGAGTCACGTGGATAACTTGAACCCAGCCATGGAAGGAGGATTTTCACCTTGGAAATGAGCAACCACCATCAATCTGGATTGATTTTTCCCTTGGAAAACCGGTTGTTACACAGTTACCAGCACACCATCAGGTGGAATGGAGATGCACACCCACAAGAGCTCCCACTGGGAGATGCCTGAGCACCAGTACCCACCCTCCAGTTCTTCTTTCAAGATATTTCTTCTCTTCCTTATTCGCACACATTTCCATACGTCCTCCTCCCTTACTTTAGTCATTCTAATGTGTTTAATGTGTATCTTTTTGTTTTTAATGCATTTTTGGAAAATGTGTTTTGCTATTCTCTGCACATGTATTTAAATCTCATACATTTCATTTTGTAGCTTACTTTTTCCACTCAGATCCATCCATGGCACTAGGGGTACACATAATCCATTGCTTCTCACTACTACATAATAAATATCGAAGTGCAGCCACCATACGCTGCTCATCCACGCTCCCAGTGATATTCTCCCAGGCTCCATCCAACTCCCCTCCCTGCAAAAAACACAGTGCTGCTTCCTCTCCAGAATAGCTGCACAGGCTGCCCTTCCATCAGCAATACCCAAAGTGCCTTAGACCCATGGCTTTACCCAGTTCCTGGCAAGACTCAGCTTCCTAATTTTTGCCAGTTTAATATGAGTGTAGAGAGATAGTTACTTTAAACATACACTCTCCCCACAGCCTGCTGCTTCTGCCTTTTGGCAGCTGCTAGTGCCCAATCCGTGCTTAGAATTTCTCTGAAGGCTCTGAAATTGCATGCAGCTTTTTGAGACCGTTGCTCTCCCATTCATCTCAAAGACATGCTTGCTGGCCCTCTTTTGTTTTACATTTTTTTGTTCTTTATCCGGTAACAGACCAGAAGCAGGATATCAAAAGCAGGATGGTGGAAATCTAGTTTTGCAAGGTCCTAAGGGCATGGATCACTCACAATGCACTTCTGGATTCCTTTGTAGAGATGTCAACTGCACCCCAGGGGCCTTCCATCCCGGGACTTTATTCTTAAAGCTGGAGAGACCTTCCCCACGGCAGATAAGTTAAACCCTGAAGACTGTAGTCAGGGTAGAACAGCAAGTGTCTAAAGCGGGCAATTCTGTTTAATGGTCTGGAGCCCCACTCAGAGGGGCTGCTACAGAATGTGTA